GCTCTTCCTGCTGCCGCAGCCCAGCCCTGCTTCAAAGAGCCCCTGCCAGCCCAGGCCTGCACTCTGCTGCCCTGTTCTGGGCCCCTACCGGCCCTGGCTCCAGTACACTGGCGTGATCCTACCCAGCTGTTGCTACGCTCCTGCATGCCCACTTGCCATCACTTCCCCACTTTTCTGCCCACTGCCAGTGCTCCTCCCCACCCCCTTGCCAGCTGCTCTAGAACCATGCGACTCCTGGCTGCATCTCCAAACCACAGGACTCAACAGAAGCCAGCCAGCCCACCCCGGCCCCGAGGACGGGTGACTGCCCGTGGTCCTTCCCTGCCTCCCTCCCACCCTGTGTTCTTAGCTGAGTTTCCTGGAGGGAAACAGGGAACAACCCCGGGGTGCTAGGCAGAGGTTTTCAGTTGAGGGGTGAGAGTGGGGATGGGCAGGACTTGCTGCTGTAGCTGCTGGGTCCTCCCACCCCAAGTTCCTGCCGCCAGCTCCCCCTGGGTCCTACTGCTGCTGGCGCCTTCTCATCTTTGACAGGCAGCCAGGGGCAGATAATAAATAATTTTCTAAATTTTTTAGGGGCCCCACAAGCCAGAGAGAAGGGCCTGGCAGGCTGGATTTGGCTTGTGGGCCAGATTTTGCCTGCTCCTGTGATAACCACTGTAAAAGGAATAATTAAATAAGTGATCCAAAGTAATAAGCACATACTTGGTTTGTAAGTATCCTAATTAGTGTAGAGAACCTTACCTGAAAGGGTCTGGTCCCACTTGCTAATACTATTTGATTCAGCACTAAGCCCTTCAATATATTTCAGGTAGGCCTCAGAATGAAGAAGCCTCTGTGTCTTTGGTGGAGGGGAAACGAACATTGGAGTTGTGGGCTGCTGCATAACTGGCTGACTTGCTGGGCTTTGACCTGGATACGGAGGTGGTGCTTGCTGGCTGGGGGGCCCAAGAAGCCCCATCTGAAATGACAAAACAGGAATGAGAGCTGGCCCAAGAATTCCCATCTGAAATGACAAAACAGGAATGAGAGCATTGCATTTTTGGTTCAGCTGCATGTGTTCAAGCACATCACTATTTTAACCTATTCAGCTAAGTCATATAAATTGTGTTTGAGTGTCAGGAAATACTCTGACAAATGTGTTCCCTGCCAACATGTAAGAGGCTAATAGTTTAATTCTGTGTTAGAATGTATTATTATTCAGAACTTAAGCACAGAAAACAAAATGTCTTAAAACAGGGTAAGAGTTTCGGATGACATGATAACAAGCCAGGTTTCTGGTTTCTGGGTTGTTTTTTTTTCAGAAGGGGCACAGACACAGGGCTTATAAGTATTTTCAGTTTTACAGTTGCATTTTGAAAATCAATGATTAATTTTTTTTTATAGTTATGTAACACACATTCTTACTACTACTACCCTTCTCCTCCCTCCCGCATTCTCTCTTGCTTTGTGTCACAATTGCTTACTTAATCTTCTCTTAAATTTTAACACCTGCCTCAAAGCTTGTGGTTTATCATTTAATGTAGCTACATCATATCTACCACAAAATGGGCCCAGAACCTGGTTGAAGGTTTTGGGCACTTCATGGTAAACCATCATGATACAGAAATCACTGTTAATACACAGGAAAGTCTAGGATTATGAGTAGCTAAAAGCCATAATCATAGAAATTAAGGGGTGGAAGGGACCGCAAAAGATCGAGTCCAACTTCCCTGCTGTGGGCAGGAATATTGCTGAGATCAAATGATCCCAGCAAGGTGTCTGTCCAGTCTCCTCTTGAAGACTTCCAAGGCTGGGGACTTTACCACTTCCTTGGGAAGTCTATTCCAGATTCTGGTCACTCGTACTGTAAATAAATTCTTCCTTATATTGAAACTGAAATCATCCTCTAACAGTTTATGGCCATTGCTCCTTGTTCTCCCCTGGGGCACCCTAGTGAACAGTTTTTCTTCTAGCTCCCAATCTTCACCCCTTACATACTTATAGACGGCCACCAAGTCCCCCCCTCAGTCTTCTTTTCCCTAGGCTGAACAGTCTTAGACCCCTATGCTTTAAGGGCCTGGAGGACAAACACTCTGAGTAATCATTCTTGTGGCCCTTCTCTGGACCCTTACAGGATTCTCCATGTGTTTTTGAAGTACAGCTCACAGAACTTGACATAGTACTCCAGCTGGGGTCTCACCAGCACCAAGCAGAGAAGAAGTATCACTTCCTTAGCCCTGCTCGTGACACATTGGCTAATGCATCCCAGTATGCTATTAGCTCGTGCTGGCCAGGACATCTCCTCCTAACTTACATTCATCTCGCTGGTTACTTCTCCCCAGATGAAGCACTCTGCATAAGAATGCCATATAACCTTGTTTAATGATTATTTAGAAAAGGGCAATGATTTCTCTCACAAAAAAACCAGAAGGCATTATCATTAGTTTAACAGTAAACAGAAATTATTCACATTGGCTTAAGAGAAGATAAGAATGCTGTCATTTAAAGGTAGAGATGACACTTAATTAGGTATAACTGAATTAACCAAATTAGAATTTGGCCAAGAAACTGTGGATTAACAAGCAGTATATTTCCAGCCAGATATTTTAATAAGAATAAATTCTCAGATTAACTTTGGTTTTAGATATTATTAGGGAAGACCATGTACACTAGGACAGGGTACAGGCAAAATATGGCCTGTGGGCCACAACTGGCCCACCAGGCCATTCTATCCGGCTTGCGGGGCCCCTAAAAAATTTAAAAATTAATATTTATCTGCCCCTGACTGCCTGTTAACAGGAGTCAGTGGCAGCAGGACCCAGAAGGAGCTGGTGGTAGGAGACAGCCGGAGCTGCAGCAAGGCCCACTGGCCCTGCCCCACCCCACCCCTGCCCTCCCCATCCCACCCCCAGGAAGAAGCTTCTGCCTTGACAGAGGCTTCTGGCCTGGGACCCTGGGGCTGTTCCCCACCTCACTCTGCTGGAGAGGGAAACTCAGGTAAGAACAGGCGGAGGTGGGGGAGGATCACCGGCGCAGCATGAGCCAGCCAGGCCCAGACAGCACCACACGGTTCCCAGATGGCAACCGTGTGGTGCCAGCTGGCTCTTGCTGTGCCACACGGTCCTGGCCCTGCAGCTGGAACCATGTGGTGCTGGAGCTGTGGGTGGGGAGTGGCAGGTTGGCAGGGAGCAGTGGGCCGGTGGGGAGTGGTGGCATCAGGTGGGGAAGGAAAGAAAGCACCAGGGAAAAGGCAGCAGTGGCAAGCATGGGGGTGGGGCGGAAGTGTCAATGGGTGGGAATGCAGGGGCCCCAAGGGTCAGGGGCAGTGGCAGCAGGACCCAGCTGGGAACTGCAGGGGCTGGATTGGCTCCTGGTGTGTTCTGCAGTTCTGGCATTGCAGCTGGGAACAATGTGCTGCCAGGAGGTGCCCAGCTGCGTTGGTCAGCTCCATGCCATGCCACTTGGTTCCTGGCTGCAATGCCAGGACCACAGAATGCAGCATAAGACAGCCTGGCCCCCACAGTTTCCACCTGGCTCCTGCTGCCGCCCCTACATTTGGCATGCCTGCAGTTCCCACACTCACAGTGGAGGCAGACGTGCTAGATCTGGCTCCCTTCCCTGCCCCCTGCTGCGCAGGTCCATGGACTGGGAGTGGAGGGAGCCCTACCCCGTGCTTCCCCACAGAGTCCAGCCTGGGGTTTCCCCTGTGTGAGTGGGGGAGCTGCAGACATGCAGTGTGGAGCCCCCATGACAGAGGCGGCTGGGCAAGCTGCACTCCTCCCCCTGCACATAGCACTGGCCAGAGCTGCACCCCACCATGTGCCAGTGCCTACACCTGGCATGAGCTCCCTGAGCCCCTGCCTGCTGCAGCTGCCAGCAGTGGGGCTGCACACCATGGGGGCAATGTGCGGAGAGGCCCTGCAGCCCACAAACCTCACACACCCACACCCTGTCCCCACAACACCCACCAACATGTACACACTTCCCAACATGCCCCATGCCCCCCCCACATAGACACCCACTGCAATATAAAAGAGTAAGCCTGTATTTTTGAGTTATTATATCCTTTCTATATATGGTACACAAACACAAATCATGGTAAATATTTTTTGTAATAAAATTAAAATATGTCTTAGTAGGTATTTGACTTTTAGTGTATGATTTGTTTTTTTTTCTGGTTCTAAGATGGCAACCCCCCTCCCAAAAGCAGTATTTTTGAGAGGCAAGGGGAGGGACTTCTGGTAGCAAAGATCAAGGATTAGGGGACAGGACTTTTGGTCCCAATAGTGACTGGGTGCAGGGGCAACTGTTAAGGAGTGGTGCTACCCATGTGGCCCTCAACAGCTCGCCAAAACTCGTTAAGTGGCCCTCTAGCTGAAATAATTGCCCGCCCCTGCACTAGGACAAGACTGAGACACTGATCTAATACTAACTCAGAGGGGGTACAATCATCTACCAATAAATAAACAGGACTTTTACAGTTGCATAAATAAGGCAAAATTTCTTACCTGCTGTCCAAACGGGCTTCCTCCTGGTGCTGGAGTGCCTACCATGGAAGATACATTTTGACTTATAACACCTATATTTCAAAATATAAACAAAATTTTAGCAAAGTGATAATTTCTATTTTCTTCTTTTTAGAGAGTTGTATTCTGTTATCATTATTTGATTTAATACCATTACTATTTTATCCATGAGAGCAACATTACTTTTAAAAGAAAATTTAAAGATTAAGGAGAAAAACAGAACAAAACTGTAAAACAACAAGATGCAGTATGTTAGATTTAAAATAACTGTTTCTTAATGAAAAAAAAAGAAGTTACTAATTTCTGGTTCTCTTTTTACTGTATTATTTCTTGACTAAATCTTGCAGTTCAAATAGTGCCTTTGTTTGACAGCAGTCACCTCTAAAACCATAAAAACTCACACTAAAACCATTAATTTTTTGTTTTGCTGTATCATATCATCCCTCTAATACAGAAAACATTTTTATTAAAAGTGAAGAGACTTGAATATTTTTAAGGACAAGACAGATTCACAGTATTTGTTTGCTTTATTATAACTTTCGAAACTAAATGAAAAAAAGAATCTGTTTGCAGAAATATTTTGGAGGCATTTTCTCTATTGCTAGAAGTGTACCAGGGAACAGACAATGCAAGTCACACACAACAATTTACAAACCTTTTTCAATTGTCCAATTCATTATATTTTAAATAAAATTGCCTGAACAGCTAAATGAAAGCTACTCTTAGTGATGATCTTCTACTTGCATCTCTAATTTTGTCATAATCAAATGACATTTATTCTGAAGTTGAAAATGAAGTATAAATTTCACCAGATGTAATTTGTTATGCAAGAAGCAAAGTTTGTTTGGCAATACTTTTTATTAGCTAACTGATACGGTTGGGAGAAATATTTGACAAGAACTTGGGCACAAAAGTGCCCTTCCTCAGGTAGTAACTCAGGAAACAAAGCATGTTGCTGATTTTTCCAGCTGGGATTAATAAACAAATATCCCCTTAAACCTAGAATTCTGGAGTATATACCAAACCTTTAATATTATGCTCTTATATTTTATTGGCTTGGTGGGCAGGAGACAGACTATAGCATGCAGCTGTATCACTAAGCTGAAGTACTATGCCAACTCATGTTATTAATAAGAATTGTATACACCAATGAGAATGCAGGTTGCATAATCAATGCTGAAAGATTGCTTTTAAAAGTGATTTATATGCAAACACAAAGTCCTGTCAGCAGGGATATAGGTAAGCATCTATCATTACCAATGGAAATAAAGATAACACTTTTCCCTTATAGATTAACAATTTAACTGCTGAACATAATATTATAAATAGCAAAACCAGATTACATCGTCAAGGTAAAAGGAGAAAGAATCATCAGCAAATTGGATGAAGTCAATTTTCCTAGAACAGAGAAATCAGTGACATTGGAGGCAAGTGTTACCTATACTGAGTTTTCCCCTTCTGCCTGATATAATAATTCACTATACTTTACTCAAACAATTAACACAAAAGACAAAAAGAAATGGGGAAAATGCTGCCTTTTGTCAATGTAACTGTTGACATGAATAAAATATTGATTTATTTTACCTAAATATGCTTTGAACTGACATTAGATTATGTCCCAGGCTTAATATAAGACCAGTCTTTAGCACTGTAGGATAGTTTATGATCAAGGATAAGACTCCTTACAATTTTAAAATTAATCCATAAATGTGCCCAATCCCAGGGCTAAATTACAAAAATGAGGACTGCTTCTAATTTTATTCTATGTGATGACTTAAAAATTCAGTACCAGTTTTTAATCTTATAATATTTTAATGTAATTATTTATCTGACCTATTATTTGTACATAGGTATTTTTAGTCAGATGGCTGAATTTAAACCAAATATTAAAAAATGCACAGATGGAGATTATTTTAATCAGGAATAGCCAGGAAGACATCTAATTTTTGAGGCTAATAAAAAGTAACTGCATAGTCTGCTGACATGAGTGTAAGGACTAAGCTGTTTTGGGGGTTGCAAATTTTTAGTAAATCAGACTGCAATGGCACATGTTTTTAGCAAGTGGAATATTATATTTCAGGGGGGGGCGCATCTACATGAGATACTAACTGCGCAGTAGCGTGTCACAGCCAAACAGTGCTAATATGCTATTGCGCAGTATGATTAGGTTCCTGTGCAGTAAAATCACTAAAAAGGTGTTCTCTGGCGCTACTGCTCAGTAACTCTGGTTACTGTGCGTTTAGTACCTGATCATACAAGTACTAAATTAAATGAGTAGTAACCACTATGTATTAATGAACATGTAGACGTATCTAGTTGGTAACTATTTTGCTGCTGGCTCACTACATATATTATTCTGTCAATGTTTATAAATATTCCATTAAATTCAACAAACATTTAGGATCCATCTGGTATATTCAGCAGCACAGCGGGTACATTACAGCTAAACATACCTAAAAAAGTTCAGGCACAGTCAAGCAATTAAGCTATGAACAAGCAAGCTGCAGTTTGCTCCTGTAAGAGCTAGTTAAATGGTAAGCACATGAAAATGAAATAATGAGTGAATGAACATTCTTACCCGGTGGTGGGATGCCTGGCATACCTGGCGAAAGTTGGTGGGGTGGGGGCACCCCAGGGTGAAGTGGCTGCATGCTGCCCATGCTAACAATGCCATCAAGTGGGCCCTGCAAAGGTGGCAGCACCGGTGGATAGCCACCTATCATGCCTTGAAGGACACAATAAATTTCAAACATGCATCAATAACATGCAATATGATCTAAACAATAAGACATGCACTACCCACAAATAAGCATCTTTAGTACAGCACAGCAATACTATAATTAGTATCTTACAAAAATGCACAAAAAATTAAAGTTATAAATATGATATGCTATACTGCAGATGAATCAGTATTCAATGTATATATGTATACATAAATTTAATGTATATGTAGGTAAAAATAAATGTTGAATATTCCAATGTATATTAATACACAGAATAACATTCAGTTACAATTAAATGTTACTATGCAAGCAATTTTAATATAGCATTAAGCTCTGCCATTTGCATTCTATTAATGACACAACACTAAATACATCAATTTATGCGCATCCATACTTTGTGGAATAACACGACGGGCAAACCTAACTGGAACAAAAAACATTCTCTGAGCACTTTTCCATAATATTTATGTAGAATTCATTTATAAAGGTAATTTATAATGCATGCACTCAACTCAATGCCATAGCACCCAAGATTTTACTGTGGGATTTTTTATAAACTACCTTCTGTACCAACAGAGCAACAGTTTAAATGAAGGTTAAATGTTTAAGTGAAGGTTAAATATCTGATCGAAATGAATGTGCTGGACACTTTACTGAATTACAACCTATGTTAGTCTACTGGAGTTAAATGGTGCAACATGGAACATCATCTGACATATAATTTTACCTCTGATACTTCCTCCAGAGAGACAGAGACAGAGAGAGCAAGAGGGAAAGCGAGAGGGCGAGCGCGAGTGAGACTGAGGGCAAGAGCAAGCAAGCGAGAGGGCGAGCGGGAGGGCAAGAGAGCAAGGGAGTGCAAGAGGGAACAGGAGCGCAAAAGCGAGGGAGAGGGCGCACCACAGCAAGAGAGCTCATGCAGCAACCAGCAAGAGGGCACATGTGACAGAGGGGTTGCATGGGCACGACAGAGAGGGGGCACGAATGTGAGACAGAGTCAGGGACAGGGACAGAAAAACAGAGAGAGAGAGCCTCACACACACATATAACTAGTGAGAGACAGGGAGGGGGAGAAATGCAAACAGAGAGAAAGGGAGAAAGAGACCGGGGCGGGGTGACAGAGCCAGAGACGGGGCGACAGAGAAAGGGGATGACAGACAGACGGATGGAGATACATGCATACACACAGAGACAGAGAGCGAGATGGAGAAAGAGAGAGACAGAGAGAATTCTTCTGTCCTCTTTGTCAAAATCTCTCTGGACCAGGGACGATTCAGTATCTATTCATACCTAGATATAGTATTGTCAGTAAACAAACCTATAGCTTATAGCTGTATTTACTTATTAAGCTCTTCACCTCCAACTTGCTTTTCTGATCCCTATTTTTTTAAAGTTTTCTTATTTTGTATGATATGTTGACAGATAGCTAAGGAAACACATTTGACAGACTATGAGAAGATGACTGAGAATGGCAGCATTTCTAAAGAAATGAGAGAGAAGTTTAAATATGCAAAATACTGGAGAATCTACAGTACTGTACCTGTTGAGAAATTGACCTACAGAGTGTCCATTACCCTGATAATGAACAATCCTCATAAAATAAAACTTTCAGAATACAGTTTATGGGAATAACACCAGCTGATAACTTTTCAACAGCTCTGACTAGATGCAGTCCCTTTAATTAAAGGAGTTATATGCTCAGAACCAAACAGAATTTGTAATTTGAAAAAAACTGGTAGCTTGCTCAGAAAATAGTACAGAACTGAGAAGTGGGTATGTTAGAAGAGAGGGACAGACTACAACTAGATCTGGACAGGTTACAGGGGTGGGCAGATGAGAACAGGATGGGTTTCAATACTGACAAGTGCAAGGTACCGCACCTAGGGAGGAAGAACCAGCAGCATACCTACAGTCTGGGGAACTCCCTTCTCATCAGCACAGAGGCAGAAAAGGATCTTGGAGTCACTACTGATTCCAAAATGAACATGGGCCACCAATGCGAGGACGCAGTCAGGAAAGCTAACCGCACCTTGTCATGGATCCACAGATGCATCACGAGCAGGTCCAAGGAGGTGATCCTCCCCCACTATACTCCAACTGCGGCCTGACCCAGGTCACAGTTGGAGTACTGTGTCCAGTTCTGGGCGCCGCACTTCAGGAGGGATGTGGACAGCATCAAGAGGGTCCAGAGGTGGGCCACTCGCATGATCAGGGGGCAGCAGGGCAGGCACTACGAGGAGAGGCTACAGGACCTGAACCTGTTCAGCCTCCACAAGAGAAGGCTGACAGGGGATCTTGGAGGCATCTATAAACTTGCCAAGGGGGACCAGCAGGCAATGGGAGAGCACTACCAGAAGGAATAATGGCCATAAGTTGACTGAGAGTAGATTCAGGCTAGATATCAGGAGGCACTACTTCACAGTCAGGGCGGCTAGGATCTGGAATCAACTTCCAAGGGAAGTGGTGCTTGCTCCTACCCTGGGGGTCTTCAAAAGGAGGCTAGACAACCACCTAGCTGGGGTTGTTTGACCCCAGCATTCATCTGCTCAGGTCTCTTCTGACCCTACCAACTATGAAACTGAGAAACTTTCATTGTAGCTCGCATTTCAAATGGGATGAACAATCAAATACAGCAGTTTGGTTACACCTATATCAATCTAATTACACAAGAAATCCTCAATATTTTAGAAAATAATTTTTTTATTATAGTAGGTATCCATTTCTATTATTATTTAAAAACTTATCTGTATGAATCCATTAATGTATTTCAATCCATATCTTTTACTGAAAACACTAAAACCACAGACAGACAAAAGAATCCATGTAGTGTAGAGTTCTCATGGTAGCTAAAGTCCCACTAAACCACCTTATTATAATCATCTTCAGCTCAGACACATTTGAAGCTTTTAAAACCTTTCCTATTGATTACAAAAGCTTATTTTTATACATGTGCATCATTTTAATTTAAGCCTTACTCAATAACTGATTTACTTAATATACTACAGCAACATCTGCATTAAGGATGTGTTCATATTGCCCATGCTATAGTTTTAATGACTGCTTTCAATGTCTCAACATACAAACTCCACCATGGTTTTTTTAAGTACAAAATAAATAAACAGGAAAGTTACATTTTTGGTCTCCTGTCCTGGGTAGATGAATAACACTTTCAGAACTAATTGCATCTTCCCCCTTTTTCCGTTAAAACTGCATCTGTAAATAAGTTTTTGTAACATCTGTTTTACAAATGACTAGAAATTTGCTCCAGAAAAGAAGTGCATCTTGAAAGGACCCAGATTTCTCCACCAAACAGACCATAATAAAGTCCTGCAACTAGTCCCACAAAGCTTTATCATTCATATCAAATTAATACAAGTATATATGGAATTCTTGATTTTTCTATCACTTCAATACTAACTTAAAAGGTTGGGGAAGTAGTGAGCAAAACTTTCAATTAATTTATGTTCAGACATTTCCAAATAAAATACTTCTGTAGACTGAGAACTATAAGACTCCATTATTTATAATAGGCCACAAAATAGTAAAAAAAATTATAAAGGAAGTGTAGACATATTATATCAATAGTAAGGAAATTACTTGGAAGCATCATGATAAAGTGGAGAGAGAAGGGAAATCATTTTCATCAGCTTGTATCAAGAGTAGGGTGATAGATAAATAAATACATGCATTTGAGGAATTTACCTCAAAAATAAATATACTGAGTGTTATGTGTAGAACTTAAAATTTTCACAAAGCATTTGAAAAGGTTTCATTATGATAATTATAATAAAATATAAAATCAACGGTCAATTTAAAAACACAAGGGGCTGATATTGATCACTTTTCTTGCTTGAATTTACATTACTCAAAGTAAAAACATTTATTGGGGACCTAAATTTATAACATGCAAATAATCTGGAGGAATATCAAAAGGCAAGACAGAAAAAATCTAAGATAAAAAACAGCCAAACATAAAAATGAGCAACCAGATTCAGAGATACTTGGAGTTCTTTACAAGACTGACATAGTAACAGAAAACTGCAATTCATCATGGAGAAATGCTTTACAACTTAGATTCCATGAACCATAGAGGAACATATACTTAATTTAAACATCCATGCAGTCTACTACAAGAAAGTGATTTAGATGTTATGACAGGGGAAAAAAAGGCCATCTAGCTTTCAACACAACAGTATAGCTACATCCTAATATATACATATATATATACATACACACACACACACACACACACACACACACATATATATATATATATGCATAAAGTATATGAAGTAAAAGAGCAAACAGAATTACTGGAATGCATAAGGGAGACTAGAAAAAGGTACCATAAGGCACTATTTAGAATTTGACTAAACTGATGTGATCACTTCTGATCAAATCTGTCACGCAATCAGAAACTGGAGAAAGAAAAAGACCTAAAGAGATCACATCTAACACATACCCCTATCAATACAGTGCGATTCCTTTTATAGATTCTCCAGTGCTTTGCCAGCCTTTGGATCCAAGTCCAGAAATAATTAATACTTCACATAGTGCCCATAAATTCAGCTGGCTTATGACTGGTAATAAGCACAACACCTGGATGTAATGGTTTGTTGCGTAAGCCCTTAAAGTGCAAGTCTATTCTGAAAAATGACTTGGTAAAAATGGCAAATGTGGGATTTCATGCTTACTGTTTTAACGATTCCAGATCAAGTCTGCTCTGTTTACCAGGATGGTGAGACTGCTGGCTCTGCAAACTCATGCTGGAATCTAAAAGGTAGGCTGGCAGTGTCACATGTCACCAACAATAAAGGATTCTTCATGTGGAGCCTACTTAATACTACCACTGATGATGCATGCACTAGAAGAAAATCCAGCTCACTTTTGGCCATGCTAGCAGGGGGTGAATGTTTAAGTGAATTCAATAGATATGACTGAATACAAACAGGGAGCAGGTCTAGGAGGAGCCATTTTTTTTAGTCTTTTTCAGAAGAATCCTAACTACTGAAGAGACTAACGTGGGGAAATCAGGATAATTTTTAGCTTATGTTTATTTTTTAATCAAGAAAGACTGAAGATGTTGAGCTTTTTCTTCAGCAGG